CACTTATATCTATGCATAAGGACCACATAGAATTAATATTTCTAATGTATTTGAATACATTTATATTAAGCATTCTGATATATAGAAATTTCATGGAGCTTGTAGAATTTAAAGGCAATAACCATTCATTTTATAGTATTGTATAATATAATTGTAATGAAATATATAATGCCATATTGAGAGAATGATTATCTTAAAAAATTTTATAAACCTGTAGCTTTCATATATTTTATTATTATTAAAAATGCAAAATACAATTCATATAAAATGAGAGCATTTGAAAGACTGGATTTGAAGACTAAATTAAACTTTGATATTATAATCGAAGCATATACAATAGATATATTTTACGGCAATGCTGATATCCTGTAGAATGATATGTATAATTTATATAAGATTCGATAATATTGTGTACTATAGTACTAAATACACAACATAGGTTTTAAACTTATATATAATATAATTGGTAGCTCTTTCTCAATAACTTAAAAAGAAAAAATCAGTCATTGTGAATCTAATGATATATAGTTTTACAATTTAAATTGTTTTAAATGTTCATATCTTGCTTTTGAAATGCTTTTTGAGTCCAACTCAATCTTTTAAATTTTATTCAATTAATAAGATAGTACTAAATACTACTTAAATGCAAATAAATATAATCTTAAAATTTATCACATAGGTATGTTATAGAATTCTTTGTATAATATTAGAGAAATATATATATATATATATTTTTTATTTAATAAACTTTTCGTTTGAGCTCAACTTTTGCAATCCAAATTCTTTTGAAAGTATTGTACATTCAATTTTGATGTGGACCATTGATGTTACCCAATTGGGTCATGTAAATTTCTATACCTAAACGTCCTGCTTTTAATGCATTCTTTTCTACGCTGTTCCATATCGAACTCATAAAGAGAGTGTAACATAATATCGCAGTTAAAAGAATGCATGCTATATTCAAACCGATGTCTACAGCTAGAGATGTATTCAAGCAATTTAGCCAAATAGACCAAATTAATGGAATGACTAATATACCGGCTGACACCGCGTACCAGAAACGTTGGCGCTGTACACTTTTCAATGCGTTTTCACAAATTACTATTGCTTCTTTCAAGGAATCGGTAACATCTAAAGTGTCTTTGCCATGGTTTTCTGCAAACAAATGTATAAATCTATACTATCAATATCAAAAAGAAATGAGAAAATGCGTGCGTGTATATGTAATATTTATGAATTATTCATGTCTACAATTTACCATTAGTAAATTTAAGTGTAGCCATTACTGCTTCGTGATCTGAATAACTAAAATTCTTATATGGTACGCGATTTGGCAACGGATGTTGGAAATTCGTAACTTCAACCTACAAATAAAATAATGATTATATCTCACATCAATACGGATTTATCGCATCGATAGATCCTTACTTTGATAGTTCCTGAACCTAAATACATAATGTGATCAATACGCTTTCCATCCGGCTTTGTTCGAGCAAGTTTTGAGCTGGTGTAACTATTATTGGCACATTCGTTGGTCCCTATATGGCTCGAACTATTGGGGCATGTGTCCGCTAAATCGGCAACGCCACGTATAATTTTATATGCTAAATCTTGCGATTCAGTATTAAGATCGCCAGCCAATATGACAGCATCCGCGCCACCGCTTGTCATCCTTACAAATTGGGCAGTATCAAACGCTTGCAGCACTCTGTGAGCCATATATTCGTCATTGTCTCGATTATATTCCGCATGTAACTGCAAAACAAGATGAATACTTGATAACTCTTCAAAGTTATCACAAGTTGCTCATGTTATAATATCAAGAAATATAATATTTTACAAATAACAATGAAGAAATCAGAGACATACATGTGTGATATAAACATTAATATTCATGTTGCGAATTTTTATTTTACATAATCCAACACCTTTGCCACCGAACCAGTCCCCATGATGTATCTTGTGTACGTAACCATTTAAGGGCCATTTGTGGAACATAACATCGTGAATGGGATATCGTGACAAGATGCATATCCCTGATCCAAAGACTCCACTGTTTACAATATAAAATTGTAATCATTAGGAATACTTTCCAGCAAGACACAAATTGATTCAAGTCTACATAATCATTTGTCTTTAGTATTCAGTTGCCGTTTTTAAACAATAAAGGCAGTAAATGATATAATTATGTTTATTGTCCAATGTTTCAAAGCAATAATTAAAATTATCTAAATATCCAAAGTATAATGTCGTACCTATAAAAGTAATGGGAATAAGGAAGTACTTCTTGCGCCCTTGCCTTTATCATGTTGAAATCATCAACGGACCATACTTCTTGTAAACAAATTATGTCATACTCTCTGCTGGCGCATTTGTCCGCAATAGCAGACATACGTGTGCTCCTGTCTTTCGAAACATATGGTATGCCCCTGTGGATATATCGAATCGAGCGATTAGAAATCAATACGATTTAGAATGCAAGTAGAAATACCTAGCTAAGAATAAGTGTTTATACTCACCAGCAGTTTAGCGTCAGGATGTTTACCGAAATTTCGTTTGCCATCGTCACTTTTATTTCGGGTATGTCGTCCTACGAGAGAACACAATACGGTGATTAGACTAATTGTAGAACGGCACATTATGGTCTGCTCTGATAATTCCATGCCTTTTAATATTCAATCAGCGCGCCGATAAGATAGCGAAGAATCAAAGAAAAGGAAAACAGAAAAACAAGAAAAATGAGGGGAAAAACTTATTTCTCCGAAAGGCTCCTTGTTTCACGTGTTCTCTCCGTGTATTGTTAACAGAATTACTTGACAAGTCCTTGGTATGCACGCGTCTACGTACGTGTACATCCCTTATCAGTACACTCGTCGCTACGAACAGTTACAAATCGAGAAATTTATTGTCATTTTTCGCAGAGTGCACACGCGACACACATGAATCGAATCACGTAGCAAAAATGCAGGCTTGACTATCGCCGGTAAAAGAAACAATAAATACAGTTGGCAGCATTGAGAATTAGCGATCCTAGAATGGGCGATGTTCAAAATGCATGCGAATTATTTGTCCAAAAAGAAAGGAAAATATTTGTCAGAAAAATATTTGCTCATCTCTTACAATAAGCTTTGCAAAATGATGAAACGATTTACAAAATGTTTACCTTACTGTGTACTATGTTAGTATCTCCGATTATTCTTTTTCAATTCTTTGTTTCTTTTTTCTAGAGGGAGAGGAGCCTATGTTGTCTTGAAAAATAGCTTGTATTATCTAAAAAAGATCATCCTATTTTATCA